TATGAAATTTCCTTCATGTTTTTCTTCTTATTATTTATACACTTAAATTGTTCTAAAGGCTCTTATTTTTGAAGCCATCTTTTACCATATGCTTTTCAGAAGAGCAGTAAAGTTGTAGTTAAAAATAACATAAAATTTAAGTTGAATTTTAAAGTTAAGCTTTAATAAATTTAATCATTGTGGTATTATATTTTCTTATAGTGTCAGAAATCTGAAGCTATCATGGAACAATTGAAGTCTTTTCAAATAATTGCTCGTCTAAAGCGTCTACAGGAGGAAATTTATGAGGTAAAAACCCGGTCCCACAGGATAACTGAAAAACAGGATATATTGAACAACAATTTAACAACTCTTTCTCAAGACATTACAAAAGTAGACCGAAGTACAACTTCTATGGCAAAAGATGCTGGTCTCAAGATTACAACTGTGAAAACAGATATACGACGTATTTCAGGTTTAGTAAGTGATGTAACATCATTGACAGATTCTGTGCAAGAACTAGAAAATAAAATAGAAAAAGTAGAAAAAAATACAGTAAAAAACATAGGTGATCTTCTTTCAAGTAGCATTGACCGTACGGCAATGCTCCGAAAGACAGCATCTGAAAATTCACAAAGAATTAACTCTGTTAGGAAGATACTGACTGAGCTGAAGAGTGATTTCAACAAGCACACAGATAGATTTTTAAGCTTAGAAAGCGACAGAGCTAAAGTGCTAAAGACAGTGACTTTTGCAAATGATCTGAAACCAAAGGTGTATAATCTAAAGAAGGATTTTTCTCGTTTGGAGCCATTGGTAAATGATTTAACACTACGCATTGGAAGATTAGTTACTGACTTACTACAAAGAGAGAAAGAAATTGCTTTCTTAAATGAAAAAATATCTAATTTAACAACAGTTCGAGCTGAGATTAAGGATATTAGAGAGGAAATAACGCACATTTCTGATATGGATGTTTGACATTATTTAGATCAGACTGAGATAACTTTTAAAAAATAGGACCTCTGTTATGTTACTCAAAGACTGATAAGTCAGAAATAATGATATTTTGGAGTAAATAACATTTCGTATTTGATTCTATATTGTATACCAAAATAAAATTTTTAAACAGATTGTCTGAAATAACTAAATTAAAACCTGTACTTGCAACATTATATAGCAAGAACCTTATCCACCCCTCTGACAGACAGACAGACAGACAGACACACACACACACACACACACACACACACACACACACACGTGGGGAGAAGCAGAATCTGCCAGTCTAGCACTGGGAAATCTAGATTGGGCAAGATCTGCATCCCCACTTGCCCTTACTGGTTGCCAGAGAGCATACTATATATGTTTGGGACCCTAACTGAAGAACTGCTCCCAAAGATCAGGTCTGTAGCATTCATTATTCAATAGAGGAAGAGAAACCAGAAGGGTCATAGCCTGGGAACTCCAGGAAAAGAATCAGGTAAGTCTTTCTGGGTCCTTCATTGCTTTAGGAAACAGAGAAGTGAACAATAGTGTCTTAGTCTGTTTGAGCTGCTATATAACAAAATATTAAAAACTGGGTAGCCTATAAACAACGGAAATTTATTTCTCACTGTTCTAGAGGCTGGAAAGTCCAAGATCAAGGTGCTGATCAATTCAGTGTCTGGTGAGGGCTCACTTCCTCATTCATAGATGGCACCTTCTAGCTGTGTCCTTACATGGTGGAAGGAGCAAGGCAGCTCTCTGGGGCCTCTTTTATAAGGGCACTAATCCCATTCATGAGGGCTTCTCCATCATGACCTAATCACCTCCCAAATGCCTCCCCTTCTAATTCCATCACATTGGTTATTAGGTTTCAACATATGAATGGGGAGTGTGAGGGGAGACACAAATATTCAGGCCATAGCAAGTAGATTTCCCAAAATGGGGCAGGGAAGTGGCATCTAGAGCAGGGTTTGTGGGAGAGGGATGTGGATTGCAGGGAGCTTGCTAAACCTAACACAGGGACTCTGCCTCAAAGCAGCACAATTCATGTGGTGATGATGTGGCTGGAGCTGCCAAAGCAACTAGAAAAGGAAGTTCCAGCATTTAAAACAGCATTAGCAATTACAATTAAATAAAATTTTAGAAAATGGAAAATAATCTATAGTGACAGAAAGTAGATCGNATTGGCCTAAGCTTGGAAATCCCCACCTGCTAAGCATATAAATATGATCTTTTGTATTACAATAAACGGAACTGCCTGACAGAACCCCCGCTGCGTGTGTGTGTGTGTTTGTTCCCTATCTGGGAGAGCAGCGGCGTGCTCACCCATCTCTTGGAATCTCTTTTTGCCTTGCGTACTGTTGGGGAGAAAAGAGCAATTCCTTTGGCCCCAACCCTCTAGGGAAAGGAAAAACCTGTTGGGGTCCCGTGCGGCCGCTGGAGACGCCCAACAGAACTGGAATTCTAGTTGTTTAGTTCCCCATTCAGTGATGCTGGAATTTGCTCA